AAAAAGCACCGCGTAGGGGTCTCGCCGCGGCGGGTCCAGTGGGGGATGAAAGCGGCCGTGCCGAAGGAAGGGAAAACCGGGCAGAGGAAAGGACAGACTCTCTTCGAGAGTGGAGGGTGGTTGGCGTGGGAGCGAACGGGAGTCGGGAAAGGAAAGAGCGGGACGGAAGAACGAGTGGAGGGGAAAGACGTTGCCCGAGCACGGGAGGGATGGAAAGCTTGGCTCGTGGTGGGGTAAACACGTTAGACGGCGTCGGTGAGGGGCTGCGAAGAAGAGAAGGGGGGGGGCCGTCTATTTGACGAGGAGGGTGCGTAAGATGAACAGGATGACCATCGACCACCCTCGGCTATGAAATGAACATCGCCTCCGCTGAAAAGTCGACGTCCTCGAGGTCGACGATCTATCTTCCGATCGAGATCTCGGGTGACGAGGAACCTTCCGCCGTCTAAGAATCCGGATAAGAAGATTAATACGATAGAGGGGGGAGAGAACGCGCGGCCCGATACAAAACGTTATGTCTCGTATCGTGATCGATGGGGAAAAAGAGTTTCAAAGGGTCGACCTAGTGGGAAGGGATAAAAAAGAAGTCCCACTCCCCCTTCTGGTTAGTCACGCGTGTGTAGCCATACGGAGCGTTGGGGAGGCCATTTTTATACGACGGTCCCCTTCTTTTTATTTGTACCTCAGACTACACCCCCTTACCCTGGTCGTCGGCAATTTTTCGATCAGTCGAATTCGTCGGTTCGTGACGTTCGCACGTACATACGCGTGAACGTACATACGGAGAAACGAGCCGCACCGTTTCGAACACCCGATATTTCAAGGACTCGCGAGAAATTCGGCCGTTCCGAAAAGTCCGAGCGTGTTTATGTCCGACGTCGGACCATAAGCGCGAGAGGGTGGCGGACGCGGCGGTCCGGGTGCAAGAGACAAGGACGATCTTCCACCCTTTGCTGAACGGACGGAGACGAGACCGGGAGAAGGAGAGGTTCGCGTACCGGGAAGGAGAAAAACCAGACAAGGGAGAAAGAGAGCCCTACTCTCTTTCTTACCCCTTGGAACGGCTACCCCCGACGGAGACGTCGGCGGAGTCGGAGGCGTCCCCCACCCACGTCGAGAGGAGCCGGCAGAAGGAACGGCAAGGGCGCGGGGCGAGGAGGCGAGTGAGTGTCGAGGAAAAGGGGGAGACAGAGCGCGCGCCTCGACGAGGTCGTCTGGTGGGGGCAAAGGAAAAGAGGGGTGGCTTGAAAACTGCTGTCCTAGGGCAGGCTCAGTTTTTCGTCCTCTCGGAGGTAGATTTTGGCCGTGGGAGGACCGGCCAAGGGTCGAACGTCGGTCGAGGGTGACCCGGGCCGGGGCCCAGGTCCCGCGGACCCCGGCTCGCGAGCCTCTTAAGCGGAAAACCGAGCCGCAGAAGGCAGCCGGAGGCAGCCAGAAATTTCGCGACCGCGCACCACCTAAGACAACGCCCCTACCCGAACACGCGTTCTTTAAGGCACGAGGGGGTGGCTTTTAGTCAGACGCACGCGGTCTGAGAAGCGCGCCACCACCGGCCCCCGCCGACGGAGAAGGACTTAGCGTTTCTCGCGAGCCGCAGACCCGAGTCAGTTTCGGTTCCTCCTCCGTCAAGGACTCGAGAACGCGGAAGAGGAGACGAGCTTTTTCCTCGATCGTGCACGCGCCGTTGTCGTCGTTGTCGTTGTCGTTGTCGTTGTCGTTGTCGTTGTCGTTGTCGTCGCCGTCGTGCTCCGTCTTCGCGACTATCCACGGAATATTGAAGCAACGTTGTCTCGCCGCTAACGGACGCATCTCTGCATTACCGAACTCCGAGAAGGGAACGTCGACCGTGCGTGTTTACGTATGATCGTTGGCCACCTCGATCCGCTGTCGCTCTTCCACGTCGAGAGATACTCCGATCTCGGAACGTAAGAGATCTTGGATTTTCCTTCGGTCTTGCAGTTCCTGTGCCCTGACACACGCAGTGCTCCGCAGGACTTTGAGAAAGAAAACGAAAGTGACTGTCGTGCACGGATAGTGGAACACCTGGACAACCCGTTTATCTTTTTTCCGCCGTGATTTTGGTCAGTTTTCCCCCCTCTTTCGGCCAACCCTCTTTCGCCGTTGATCCACAACCCCCTCCAACTCAGCTCCCTGACATGCCCGGTACACGTCAACGACGTCTGCAGTGTTTTCTCGCGATCGCGTACGGCTCGATCCTTTCTTAATCCCGCCATCGGGACAGAAATGGAGCACCCTGACGGAATCACCAAGGATAAACGTGAGACCGACCGACGCGAAATTCTCGCGGCGAGGAGTTGCTTCGCTCGTCGGAGGATCCGTTGAAAGTTTCCTCTTACGCGTCGTTGCTCGACGATATTGCCCGTGTCGCGAACAATGGGGATGACCGTCGCGACGACAAGGAATTTTCCGTCCAGTGATACCGCTTTCCGTTTCGTCGATCTTAAGTCGAGCTTAAAGAACGGTACGAATCGTGCGTCGA